GATGCAACACTTGAATTGCAATGCACTGCATGGTTGCCCTCCCCCTGTTGGGGTCGGGCACTCGTCTGCATCGATGATGTGGATGAGTGGACAGTCATGGTTGTACATCACTGTAATAAGTGCAATGAACAACGCTGTGATAAGTGCGATGAACAACGCTGCGTGATAGTTGGGTGCAACAATAACACACAGCATTGATGGGAGGGCAGGTGGGGCCCACTGCGAGGTGGGCGCGAGGGTCAAGCGTCGCTCGAGGCGTCAGCAGCTGCATGGTGGCAATGCAATGTGCATTGATCCAGGCCACACGCGAATGACTGGACAGATTAAGCTGCGTGGCGGAACTCTGAGGGAAGGCACATGGCTTGCTGGCTGGTCGCCGACGTTCAAGGTGGCGCAGCAGGTGCCGAGTGTCGCTTCGTCACCCTGCGGTGACACCCGCCAGCAGCACGGACGGGCTTACATACCTTACAGCACGACGGATCGTCTGTTAGTTGTCGAATGGTGATTTGGGTTTTCAATTCAGCACTGTTCCATGATTCCAGCGCACATTATCATACAGTTGCCGTGACATAGATCGCAAATACCGCCATATGTACCAGTATGCTGCACCATCTTGACAAAGAGCTCGTAGCAGACGTGCTGGGGCGCCTTGCACCGCCTGACATAGCCGCGTTTGCCGGCGCCTCCCATGCGGCGCTCGCACTACTGAATTGCGCGGCCATCAGCGAGCCCGTGTTTTCCAGCCTCGCCGGCCGGCGCTGGCACAGGCCGCGCCACGCCCTTGGATGCGGCGCGCGCCGCCTGTACGCCTCCGCCAACGGCTGGCGGCTTGGCGCCGCGGGCGGCCTGGGCTTGTCTGCCATCACCCCTGCAGATGGGATCGTGTCTGCTGCCGCCTGGATGCCTGGCGCAGGGCACCTCGCCCTTGCTACAGGGGATGAGCTGCAGATATGGCAGGTTGCACAGGGCGTCCGCGGCCGTGACGACGGTGGCAGCAGCGCGCCGCGGCTGGTTGGCAGCTGCGCGCTAAAGCATCCAGAGGCACAGCTGCATGCCCTGGCGGCCGACAACCCCTCATGTCGTCTCTCTGATGTCAGCAGCTGCGCCAGCGGCAGCGTCGCACGCGCCGCGGTGCCGCGGCGCTTGTTTTCAGGCGACAGCCGCGGGCGCCTGAGCGTGTTCAAGTGGGGCGGCGGCGCTGACGGCCCCCCTGACAGCGGCGAGACGGAAGCAGGCTTGTGCCTGCTGCGGGAGCTGTCGGGCGGCGGCACATTTCCAATCGTGGATGTCTTGCCGTTGGGATCCGGCGGCGGCGGCGGCGGCAGCGGGACCTGCAGCAGCGGCAGGGGGAACCTGGTGGTGTCCCTGCACGATGGCACTTTCGTGCAGGACCCTGCAGACGTGGCCATGATTCCGGACAACTGCGTACGCGTCTGGGACGTCGAGGCGGGTGCGGTGGCACGGTGCTGTGGGCTGGGGGCCGCGCGCCGTGCCAACGCGACAGCGAGCAGGCACCCAGGCTTGCTGCAGGCAAGGGTCTGGCGGCACCATGCGAGCTGGGGTTGGTTTGGTTTACTGCACGGCCGACAATGTTTCACACAAACTACTGCAACTGCGGCCAACACCTTCCACCGCCCAGCGGCAAGCACCCCTCTTCACCGCCCATCAATGATACATTCCTCTCCCCTGCTCTGCACACATCAAACCCACACGCCCTTCAGGGCGCGAGGCGCGAACCCGCATCACAGACCCAGCCTCCTCCTGCCAGCTCGTGGCGATGTGCCAGCCGGACCCTGCCGCCGCGCCCTCGGTGCTGGTGGCCGCGGGCTTCCACGGCAGCTTTTGTCCCCCATGCTTCGCGTCTGGCCTACCCAGCCTCTGCTCCCACAAGCCGCCGGTGAGGGTGTCGATCAGGCGGAAGTCTCATGGGCGTAGTAGGTAGGGCCACTCGACGCTCCCTCTCCCAAGCAGACATTTTTCCTGCTTGCGCCAACACACGAAAACCTCAGCCTTGAGTGTAAAGCCTCCAAGTCTCACACATGGTCCTCTATAACATAACAAGCCCTCTCGCTTCAAACGTGCCCTGCCCTGGCACTCGAGCAGGTCTGGTCGGCCAGCCTGTGTGTGCTGGACGTGCGCTGCCCCGGCAGCGGCGTCACCGCCCGCTACTCCGCGATGCACCGCTCCATCTTCCCCGCCATACGGGTGCGCTGCCCCGCGCGGCCCGCCGCATGGGCTGCGCCAAAACAGTTGTGCCTGCTGGCGAACTCCACGGGCAATCTTCAGACCCAAACGGGTTGAAGCTGGACCGGGCGTTGACCTTCCTTGGGACCCATCAGCAGTCGCATGGCGTTTTCTACACATATCACAGGCGTCTTACACCTGGTTGAGGCAAACGCTTCCCTCCGTCGCCTGCAGGCGTCTCGCGGGCACTATATCTTCACGAGTCACGGCAGTACCCCCATGGCGGCCTGGGACCTGCGGAAGATGGGGGCGGGGCCGCTGTACCAGGAGGAGCGGCTGCCTGGGGGGATAGGGGGTGGCGACGGGGACGAGGTTGATGACGAGGACGAGGATACGTCGAGCGACGACGGCGCGTCGCTGGGGCAATGGACGTCCATGCAAGTGGACGGGGCGTCGGCCGCGATGGGAGCGGGGGAAAGAGAGGAAGAGCTGCAAAATGGAGAGGTGGAACAACAGCAGGCTGCAGCCGGCACGTGCCAGGGTGTGGGCGCGCGGGCGGCTGCGGCGGCGCCCGCGAGGCATGCGGCAGCGGCGGGGATTGCGGCGGAGCCGGCCGGCAAGACGCACCACGCCCTGTGGCTGGAGGCGAGCGAGGACGAGCTGCTGGGCCGGGACGAGCTCGGTGAGGGGGCTGGCAGCAGGGGCTTGCCCGAGACGTTGCATGTGCCCGGAAACATGATGGGTGCTTGCTTTCTGCTTGATTGGATCGCAGGCATCCTCGGCGATTTCAAATTTGCCCTTGCGCAACCAAAAGCCCTTTCCGCCAAGATCTCTGATGGCAGCAAGCCGTGCCCGCTTCCTGCCACCTTTTGACACATGCATTGTACAGGCACTGTGTGGTGCTGGGACCTGAGTGCAACCCTCGGCTGGGCCGCCGACCCCGGCCCCTGCGAAACCATCGGAAGCCAGACAGGCACCTGGCATGAGCTCTCGGACACCCCCTGGAAGGTGTCACAGCGCCGGGGAAGCCGGCCAGTCCCTATTGCATCGTTCCCGTCGCCCCAGGGCTCGCTGCCTGTGATGCTGATGCCGCGTGAGCCCGAGTGCGAGTTTGCGTGCCTGTGTGCACGCCCGGGGGCGGGCGCGGCTGGGTCCGAGCGGTTGGTCTTGGCCAGGATGCTGCCGGTTGGGGCTGAATGACCGCCACACGTGAGTAGTCCTGGGCAGAGCACGTTAGTTGGTATATTGGTTGGGTTGAAAGCAGCAACCTTCTGTGCGTATGGACTGCTGTGCTTGCTTAGAATTAGTCGACAATATCTCCACCGCGGCATCCCGTTTGCAACACCGTCTGCTCAGGACTAAGCTGCTGGCGCCTGCAAACTCATTCTTGGCATGAGGCGCCACTGCAGGGTATTGGGCATGCGAGCGTACAGGTGCATGAGCACCCGCATGTGTTCACCAGGGTTGCTCGCGTCAACCAGCATGTGGTGCCCTGCGTAGCCACCACGCCAGCAGGGGTGCCACCTTCCTCTCTGTGATTCTGATTGCTGTAAATATTCAAATGTGCGCTATCATCCTAGCCAAGGGATTCGGCGCGCGAGGCAACAATTGCGTACCGCTGACGACAGAGTGGGGCGGCGCACTTCAAGCTACAGGCTGCCAGCGGTTGCTCTTTTACCTTGCCTCTGGTTCAAATTGTGATCACACAGTTGGTCCGGCAAAAACAGGGAGGTCTGCGGCTAGAGGGCGAGATTGCACCCAGTGCGGTACGGCACTTTCACTCACCACCGTGGCATCTCACAAATCGGCGGGCAGCATATTGACCAGCACACGACTGGTGACTGGCGCTTCACACAATGTATGCTACATCATCGTCCTGATATAAATGTGCAGGACTCACAATGGATCAGCTGCGAGAGCTCTTCCCAGGTGCTCCGCGGGAATTGCTTCAGAATACGCTCATTCAAGCAGGATACGATTTAGAAGCGGCTATTGAGGCGGTCTTGTCTGCCACACCCGGTCCAAGTGCGGAGGTGGGTGGCCGTGCTCTGCTGCGGCGACTGCTGCACTCCTTGCGCCTGCGCTCGACACGGTTGCCGACGCCCAATATTACAGGGCAACGCGTCTCCTGCGACAAAGCAGCGAGTTCGAACTCGGGTAGCGTTAGCGTCGCCGCACCACCGAGCCAAGTGGTCGACGCTGCCGCAAACAGCGGTGACATCAGCCAGTGCAAGCAGCGGCGGCAATGGCAGACAGCCGGGCGGCCCAGGTGGCCTGCGCTACATCGACCCTTACAGTCGCAGCTCAGCCCCCCCACCGCCGACACCTGATGCATTCCCAGCCCTTGGCACCGCCGCAAGCAACTGCAGCGTTCCGTCGCAGCCGCCGTCGCCCCAGTCATCATCTCCTGCTGACAAGGCGCAACTGACGCCGCGCCGGTCGGGATCCTGGCCTCAATTGGCACCTGGCGGTGCCGTCACGGGCGACAATAGCAGCACTCAAATCGCTGCCACTGGCCCCGCCTGGCCCGCCGCCTACGCCACGCCGCCGCGGGCGGCATCCGCAGCCCACCACCGCCGGCGCCACTCGCATTCGCCACAGCAGCTACAGCCGTCGCTGGACGCCTCGCGGCATCGACGGCAGCAGCAGCAGCAGCAGCAGCAGCAGCAGCAGCAGCAGCAGCAGCAGCAGCAGCAGCAGCCAGGCAGTAGCGCGACTGGCGACGATGACTGGCAGGCGGATGCCGTGTGCGCGCTCTCTGCACGCCACCCTTGGGCCGGCGCAGACCTGGCCTGGGTAGTGCTGACCAGCCAGGGCTTTGATGTGTCCGAGGCAGATCGCATGCTGAAGGATATGGGACCCGAGTCCGATGTTGTTGATGACAGAGATGGCGCAGACTGTGGTCCCGCAGCGGCGACAGCAGCCGGGGCACGGCTTGCTTTCGAGGGTGCAGGCTGTGCTGACGGCGGCGTGGGCACGACCCCAGGAGACGCGTACCGCCGCCACCGCGCCGAGGCGCTGCGCCTGACGCGCCGCTGGCGGGCGGCGCTGCGGCGCGCCGCCGCGGCGCACGCGGCCGGCGACCGCGCGGAGGCGCGGCGGGTCGCGTCAGAGG